TACCTTGTGGGAGCACCAGTTCAAATGAGTGCCAGCTAGAGCAAACAGTGCAGCAAACACCTGGGATTCACTGATTTTATGTAGTATTAACTCTCTGATTTTAAGAGGAAAGTGATTTTGACCCCGAATTTAGTGGCTTTGAGGTGGATGTGGCCATAAGTGGTCGATGAAGTATCAAAAAATCTCGATAATAACCCATGTGCAACATTTGTGCAACACCCTTTCAGAATGTCTTATAACTTGTGCCCTAAGTAAAGAGAAATAATTCTGGCTGGCTGGCTGACTGCTGGCCTGGCTCCATCTCCATTTGTCTGTCTGTATCTATGTCTAACTGTCTCTCTCTGTCTCTGTCTATCCCTGTCTATCTGTGTCTGTCTCTTTCTGTCTGTCTATCTTTGTCTCACAGGTACACAAATACAAGTATACATAGTGTAAATTACCTAGGATAACCCAAAAAATCCAGACAAAGTGCTATACTCTGCTTGAAGATGTGAGTAAAGGTGATGACACAGTTTTGTGACTCTCTCTCTGAGACAGAGAGCTAGATGGATAGACAGATAGACAGGGAGCTTGACAAACAGACAAATAGACAGACAGACATGTTTGTGTAGCATCAAACAAAGCGAGATGCTTCTAATCTTTTCTTATCAAGTGTTATCACTGCACCCTCACGTAATGCTCATCAAACGTCAGCTCTTATCAGATGTTATCTCATCTTATCATGTCACTGTCAGGGGTGGACTTTGTTTTCATGCTTCAAGGGAATTAATTATTTAGTATTCTTCTCTCTCGGTCCTCCTCTCCGTCCTCCTCCTCCGTCTCCCTCTGCCTCCTCCTCCATCGTCCTCCTCTCCTCGTCCTCCTCCTCGTCTCCCCTCGTCCTCCTCCTCCTCGTCCTCTCCTCCTCGTCCCCTCTCCTCGTCCTCCTCCTCCTCGCCTCCTCCCCTCGTCCCCTCTCCTCGTCCTCCCCCTCCTCGTCTCCTCCTCCTCGTCTCCTCCCCTCCTCTCCCCTCCTCGATCCTCCTCCCTCCTCGTCCTCCTCCTCCTGTCCTCCCCCCCGTCCCCTCGTCCTCGTCCTCCTCGCCTCGCCTCCTCCCCCCGTCCCCCTCCTCCTCGTCCTCCTCCTCGTCCTCCTCCTCCTCGTCCTCCTTCTCCTTGTTCCTCATCCTCCTTGTCCCTCTCCTCCTCCTCCTCCTCCCCCTCCTCCTCCTCCTCCTTGTCCTCCTCCTCCTTGTCCTCCTCCCCCTTGTCCTCTCCTCCTTGTCCCTCCCCCTCCTTTGTCCTCCTCCTCCTCCTTGTCCTCCTCCTCCCCCTTTGTCCTTCCTCCTCCCCCTCCTCCTCCTCCTCGTCCTCCTCCCCCTTTTGTCCTCCTCCTCTTTGTCCTCCTCCTCCTTGTCCTCCTCCTTGTCTCCTCCTCCTTGTCCTCCTCCTCCTTGTCCTCCTCCTCCTTGTCCTCCTCCTCCTCCTCCTCCTCCTCCTTGCCTCCTCCTCCTTGTCCCCCTCCTCCTCGTCCCCTGGGTCCTCGTCCTCCTCCTCCCCCTCGTCCTCCTCCTCCTCGTCCTCCTCCTCCTCCTCCCCCTCCCCCTCCCCCGTCCCCCTTTCGTCCCCCTCCCTTGTCCTTCTCCTCCTTGTCCTTTCCTCCTTGTCCTTCTCCTCCTCCTTGTCCTTCTCCTCCTTGTCCTTCTCCTCCTCCTTGCCCTTCTCCTCCTCCTTGTCCTTCTCCCCCTCCTTTTCCTTCTCCCCCTCCTTGTCTTTCTCCTCCTTCTTGTCCTTTCCTCCTCCTCTTGTCCTTCTCCTCCTCTTCTCCTCCCTCTCATCCCTCTCCTCCTCCTCATCCCTCTCCTCCTCCCCCATCCCCCTCCTCCTCCTCCCTCTCCTCCTCCTCCCTCTCCTCCTCCTCCTCCTTGCCCTTTCTCCTCTCCTCCCTCTCCTCCTTCCTTCCTCCCCCTCCTTCCTTCCTTTCCTCCCCCCTCTCCTCCTCCTCCCTCTCCTCCCTTTCCTCCTCCTCCCTCTCCTCCCTTTCCTCCTCCTCCCTTTCCCCTCCTCCTCCTCTCCTTGCCCCCTCTCCCCCTCCCTTGCTCCTCCTCTCCCTTCTCCTCCTCCTCCTCTGCCCCTCCTCTCCCTCTGCTCCTCCTCTCCCTCTCCTCCTCCTCTCCCTCTCCTCCTCTTCCCTCTCTCCTCGTTTCCCTCCTGCCCCTCCCCTCCTCCCTCTCCTTCTCCTCCTCCCTCTCCCCCTCCCTCTCCTCCTCCCTCTCCTCCTCCTCCCTCTCCTCCTCCTCCTCCCTTCCCTCCTCCCTCTCCTCCTCCTTCCCCTCCTCCTCCCTCTCCTCCTCCTCCCTCTGCTCCTCTCCCTCTCCTCCTCCCTCTCCTCCCCCTCTCCCTCTCCTCCTCCTCTTCCTCCCTCTGCTCCTCCTTTTCCCTCCCTTCCCTCCTCCTCTTCCTCCCTCTGCTCCTCCTCCTCCCTTTCCTCTCCCTCTCTCCTCCCTCTCCTCCTCCCTCTCCTCCTCCCTCTCCTCCTCCCTCTCCTCCTCCCTCTCCTCCCCCCCTCCCTCTCCTCCTCCCTCTCCTCCTCCTCCTCTTCTTCCTCTTCCTCCTCTTCTTCCTCTTCCTCCTCTTCCTCCTCCTCCTCCTCCTCCTTATGTACTTCCACGTATCCAAAACATTGCTGGGATCTATAAATACTTTGTATATATTCCAAGACAATAGTATATGACCAAGGCAGGTGTAAATGTCCACCTGTCACTGTGTTTGTGACAATTTGAGTACAATTTCAGTACCTAATACTAGTGTCAGAAGAAAGATTAGTTATAAAATGACAAGAACTACTATAAATTGTAATTATCAGAACATAAAAATTATATAAAATAATATGAAAATAGAAAAAAGGTATATTGGCAACACTTCTGCAAGCCGCAGGAATTGATGTTGCTGTCACGTGAGCGTCCAGTGCCAACTTCTCGGCCAAATACTGGGGTAGTGAATATATGTTTGAACCTTTACAGGTTAATGGCTTGAATGTTTGCTGTGGATGCTGTTTTTAAACTGGAATTTGTTGAAAATGGTGCAAAATTGGCAAAATTAGATTACTGAGCATTTAATAGGTTAGTTCTGATTGCTGAATAAGCAGTTTTTGTGATCACTGTCTAGTGTAGAAGGCATACTAGTGATATAACTGGGAATTAGGAAGTTCGAGCACTGGAATTGCCTTAAATTAGGTCTCAGATTGGGTGAAATCGCTGTTGTATAAAATGCTCTCTGACCTCCAACTTCATTCCTGTGTAATGTAAGTATTATATTAATTTTTGGTATCATTACCTTTAGAAATATATTGTCTTCCATTTTAAAAATAAAATTATGCATTGAAAAAAATGCCGACACAGAAGGGACTTTCAGTTTGAAGGGTGTCAACAGTTTAGGACATTGAGTGATTAACATCAGATCAAGTTGTTTGCTTCAGAGAACAACACCTTGCCAACAGAGCTTTATACCTAATTGATAACCAGTGGTAGTAGCAAAATTCTCTTGGCCATCAATTTCAGTGATACTTTTATCACTGCTTAACTTCTTTGGCTACATAAAGTAGCTCAGTCAAACTACAGCCTTGGTTTTATTGATGATAGTGACACATTCAGAGACATGTTTTGCAACACTGCTCGTATACACTCACTGAAGTATCTGAACTGCGGGGAATGCTTGAAGGTCCTTCCAATGTATTTCTAGGAAGATGGACAAGAAAGGCACATAATTTACACATAGAAAATCCTAGAGGGACTGGTCCCAAACCTTAAAACCAAAATCTCTCTGCATGACAGCAAGAGATGGTGCAAAATATTGATACCTCCACTACATAAAAGCAGGAGTGCAACGAGTATATTAAAAGAAAACTAGATGAGTGTCAAAGGTCCCTGACTCTTCCATGCTCTCCCTCTGTGCATAAGTGAAATTACCCCCAAATCTATTGCTATGTTCAAGAGGGAACTGGACTGGTTCCTCATATCAGTGCCTGATAAGCAGCAGTGGGGTTTATACATTAGACTACTTGCTGCCACCAGTAATTGCCATGAAGTCTTGTTATATTAAGGTCTGTTGCAGTATTGATTTTCAGTTGAACAAGTGTTTTCTTTATGATTAAAGATGGTTTGCAGCCATATTTCACCAGAATACTAGTAGATGACATCAGGATCATAGCTTCTCTTCATTATTCATTTTGATGAAACAGCCATTTCCCAGGTCAAGAAATGTATCAGATGTCAGATGTTTAGCATTTTAAAGACAAGAAAGCTGTATTAACAATGAATCTGTTTACTATAGATAACTTGCCTGTTGAAAAACTATACCCCTGGTATGATATTGCATAAATATGAATGAGACTATTTTCTCACAGAATATTGATCAAAGCTCACACCCAATTCCCAAGGTTTGTGGATCTGGGAAGTTGCATCCTACACACTGTGCACAGAATATTTGGGAAGTGGCTTGAGAAACTTTCAGTTGACATTAGTGAATTGTGCTTTTATATCCATGCAGTCTTCAAACTTAGTGCAGCAAGAAAAAATTACCAGAAGCTTCAGTTTGAGATGAACATAGAGCAGTATCAGTGTTAAGAAGACACTGAAGTTCACTGGCTGAGTCTTGATCCAGGTATCTTCAGGATATTAGAACAGTTGGATCTCATTTTAGAATTTGTGCATGAATTATTTTTTTTAAATACTGCACATATATTTAATATTTGTTATAGTTATGGAAGTCTTGTTTATTTTTGTGATATGTATTATGTTTTAAAAAAAAGGACTGATAAAACTTTTTCCTTTTTTATAAAGAATATTAAAGGAAATTTGAATGTTTTGTCTGTTATGAGCTTTCCTTATTTATATGATTTGTTAATATTTTAATATTGTATAATTGTTTAAATAAACCACACATGAAGCTTAGAAGAATTAATGAAAAAATGTTTATTTAGCATTTATGTATATTTTGCTAATGCATATTTTTATCCACAGTGCAACCTACCTCACTGCAAGACTATGAAGAATGTGTTAACTCATATGACCACTTGCCAGGCGGGTAAGTCATGTCCAGTTCCTCACTGTGCATCATCCAGACAAATTATATCTCATTGGAAGAATTGTGCGCGTCAAGACTGTCCAGTGTGTGAACCTTTAAAACAAGCTGACAAGAAACAACCTGGAGCTGGGGGTGTTTCAGGGCAGATACCACCAACTGTGTCTCAATCTGGCCCCAGCCCAGGAGGGGTTCCAGGGCCCCTGTCGGGTCCTCCAGGACCTCCAGGGCCCCCTGGTCCACCTAGTGTTACAGGTCAAATGCCAACAGGGCCTCCAGGACAAAATGCTGGCCCAAGACCTGGAGGTGTAAAAAGAGTGTATGAGGGGGATACGTTACAACCAGCCATGTCTGGACCCCCAGGACCAACAGACTCTTTAATGAGAAACTTAAGACCGCAGGTGCCTAGTGTTGCAGGAATGCCTAATGCCCAACAGGGAGCACCTGGAAGTGTTCCAGGGGCTCCTACAGGTGTACCTGGTGCACCCGTGGGTATGCCTGGGCAGATTGTGCGTCCAGGTGTACCTAACAAGGGACCTGAGGGGACTATGATGGGTACTTCCACTCCGCAGAGTATGAGCTCGCCTGGGATGATGGTTAGAGGGCCCAATGCTGGGTCTGGACCATTAAATACTCTTCAACAGCAGCAACAAATTATTGGCAAGCCTCCAAGTGTTGGCATCAATCAAAACAATCCTATTGTAAGTACAGTGTTGTATGTGTTGGATGGATTTTTTATTTTGATGTTCTTTATTTTTGAGTATATGTTTCTTAATTTTTTTTATATACGTATTTACTTTCTTTTAAGGTATGTGTACTTCAGGGTTTGTCTTTGCAGGCTTTACAATCTTTACCTGATTCCTGGCTGCATCTGCCCAATCAACCTGCACAGTTGCCTGGTGGCTTTGGAGCCGTTACTGCCAAGCCTGTTAAGGGGACCAAAGAATGGCACCAAAGTATATCAAATGAGCTGAGAAATCACCTTGTACATAAACTGTAAGTTAATGTTTCTATGTATTAAAATTTAATCCATGGTTATGTTGATTTGGAGTAGGAAATTTCTGCTTTCAAATTATTATTATTTTTTCACACTCTGGCCATCTCCCACTGAGACAGGGGTGACTCAAAAAAAAAAAAAGAAAAATTTTCACATTCATTCACACACAATCACTGTCTTTGCAGAGGTGTGTAGATATGACGGTTCAGATGTTATTCCAAACAGCAAATATCCTAAAACCTCTCCTTTAAAGTGTAGGCATTGTACATCCCACCTCCAGGATTCAAGCCTGGCTAACTGGTCTCCCGAATCCCTTCATGAAATATTACCACACTCACACTCCAATAGCTCGTCAAGTCCCAAAAAGCATTTGTCTCCACTCTTACATAACATGCTCACACATGCCTGCTGTATGTCCAAACCCTTTGCGCACAAAACCTCTTTTACCCTCTCCATCCTTTCTAAGGATGACCCTTACCCCTCTTTCCCTCCACTACAGATTTATTCACCCTTCAAGTCATCCTATTTTCCTTCATCCTCTCGAAATGACCAAACTATATCAGCAACCCCTCCTCAGCCTTCTGGATAATGCTTTTAGACACCTTGCACCTCATCATAAACTCCAAGCTAAGGATTCTCTGCATAATATTCACACCACACATTACCCTTAGACACGACATCTCCACTGCCTCCCGCCTTATCCTTGTTGCAACATTGACCACTCGTGTTTCACACCCATATAAGAGAATTGGTATACCTATACTCTCATATATTCCCCTCTTTGCTTCCATGGATAGCATTCTTTGTCTCCACAGATTCCTCAGTGCACCACTCACCTTTTTCCTCTCATCAATTTTATGGTTAATCTCATCTTTCATAGATCCATCTATTGACAAGTCCACTCCCAGATATCTGAAAACAATCATTTCCTCCATACACTCTCCCTCCAATCTAATATCCAGTCTTTCATTACCTAAATCTTTTGTTGTCCTCATAACTATGCTCTTTCCTATGTTCACTTTTAATTTCTTCCTTTTACTTTTCTTAACATGTCGGCTGTTTCTCATTGACGCAGGGTGACCCAGAAAGAAACAAAAACCCAAAAAAGAAAGAAAAAACTTTCTTTATCATTCAACACTTTCACTAGTTGTAGCTACACTGAGAGTAAAAGGTAGATGGGATACAAGGAGAATAGAAGCATCAGGGAAGAAAGAGGTGAAGGTTTATAAACTAAAAGAGGAGGCAGTTAGGGTAAGATATAAACAGCTATTGGAGGATAGATGGGCTAATGAGAGCATAGGCAATGGGGTCGAAGAGGTATGGGGTAGGATTAAAAATGTAGTGTTAGAGTGTTCAGCAGAAGTTTGTGGTTACAGGAAAGTGGGTGCAGGAGGGAAGAGGAGCGATTGGTGGAATGATGATGTAAAGAGAGTAGTAAGGGAGAAAAAGTTAGCATATGAGAAGTTTTTACAAAGTAGAAGTGATGCAAGGAGGGAAGAGTATATGGAGAAAAAGAGAGAGGTTAAGAGAGTGGTGAAGCAATGTAAAAAGAGAGCAAATGAGAGAGTGGGTGAGATGTTATCAACAAATTTTGTTGAAAATAAGAAAAAGTTTTGGAGTGAGATTAACAAGTTAAGAAAGCTAGAGAACAAATGGATTTGTCAGTTAAAAATAGGAGAGGAGAGTTATTAAATGGAGAGTTAGAGGTATTGGGAAGATGGAGGGAATATTTTGAGGAATTGTTAAATGTTGATGAAGATAGGGAAGCTGTGATTTCGTGTATAGGGCAAGGAGGAATAACATCTTGTAGGAGTGAGGAAGAGCCAGTTGTGAGTGTGGGGAAGTTCGTGAGGCAGTAGGTAAAATGAAAGGGGGTAAGGCAGCCGGGATTGATGGGATAAAGATAGAAATGTTAAAAGCAGGTGGGGATATAGTTTTGGAGTGGTTGGTGCAATATTTAATAAAGTATGGAAGAGGGTAAGGTACCTAGGGATTGGCAGAGAGCATGCATAGTTCCTTTGTATAAAGGCAAAGGGGATAAAAGAGAGTGCAAAAATTATAGGGCGATAAGTCTGTTGAGTGTACCTGGTAAAGTGTATGGTAGAGTTATAATTGAAAGAATTAAGAGTAAGACGGAGAATAGGATACAGATGAACAAGGAGGCTTTAGGAAAGGTAGGGGGTGTGTGGACCAGGTGTTTACAGTGAAACATATAAGTGAACAGTATTTAGATAAGGCTAAAGAGGTCTTTGTGGCATTTATGGATTTGGAAAAGGCGTATGACAGGGTGGATAGGGGGCAATGTGGCAGATGTTGCAAGTGTATGTGTGTAGGAGGTAGGTTACTGAAAGCAGTAAGAAGTTTTTACGAGGATAGTGAGGCTCAAGTTAGAGTATGTAGGAAAGAGGGAAATTTTTTCCAGTAAAAGTAGGCCTTAGACAAGGATGTGTGATGTCACCGTGGTTGTTTAATATATTTATAGATGGGTTGTAAGAGAAGTAAATGCGAGGGTCTTGGCAAGAGGCGTGGAGTTAAAAGATAAGAATCACACACAAAGTGGGAGTTGTCACAGCTGCTCTTTGCTGATGACACTGTGCTCTTGGGAGATTCTGAAGAGAAGTTGCAGAGATTGGTGGATGAATTTGGTAGGGTGTGCAAAAGAAGAAAATTAAAGGTGAATACAGGAAAGAGTAAGGTTATGAGGAAAACAAAAAGATTAGGTGATGAAAGATTGAATATCAGATTGGAGGGAGAGAGTATGGAGGAGGTGAACGTATTCAGATATTTGGGAGTGGACGTGTCAGCGGATGGGTCTATGAAAGATGAGGTGAATCATAGAATTGATGAGGGGAAAAGAGTGAGTGGTGCATTAGGAGTCTGTGGAGACAAAGAACTTTGTCCTTGGAGGCAAAGAGGGGAATGTATGAGAGTATAGTTTTACCAACGCCTTATATGGGTGTGAAGCGTGGGTGATGAATGTTGCAGCGAGGAGAAGGCTGGAGGCAGTGGAGATGTCATGTCTGAGGGCAATGTGTGGTGTGAATATAATGCAGAGAATTCGTAGTTTGGAAGTTAGGAGGAGGTGCGGGGGAATACCAAAACTGTTGTCCAGAGGGCTGAGGAAGGGTTGTTGAGGTGGTTCGGACATGCAGAGAGAATGGAGCGAAACAGAATGACTTCAAGAGTGTATCAGTCTGTAGTGGAAGGAAGGCGGGGTAGGGGTCGGCCTAGGAAAGGTTGGAGGGAGGGGGTAAAGGAGGTTTTGTGTGCGAGGGGCTTGGACTTCCAGCAGGCATGCATGAGCGTGTTTGATAGGAGTGAATGGAGACAAATGGTTTTTAATACTTGACGTGCTGTTGGAGTGTGAGCAAAGTAACATTTATGAAGGGATTCAGGGAAACCGGCAGGCCGGACTTGAGTCCTGGAGATGGGAAGTACAGTGCCTGCACTCTAAAGGAGGGGTGTTAATGTTGCAGTTTAAAAACTGTAGTGTAAAGCACCCTTCTGGCAAGACAGTGATGGAGTGAATGATGGTGAAAGTTTTTCTTTTTCGGGCCACCCTGCCTTGGTGGGAATCGGCCAGTGTGATAATAATAAAAATAACTTTCACTGTCACTTATACATAATCAGTCTTTGCAGAGGTGCTCGGATATGACAGCTTAGATTTCGCTCCAAACCACCAATATCCCAAACCCTTCCTTTAAAGTGCAAGCATTGTACTTTTCACCTCCAGGACTCAAGTCCGAATAACCGGTTTTCTTGAATCCCTTCACAAAATACAGTGGACCCCCGGTTAACGATATTTTTTCACTCCAGAAGTATGTTCAGGTGCCAGTACTGACCGAATTTGTTTCCATAAGGAATATTGTGAAGTAGATTAGTCCATTTCAGACCCCCAAACATACACGTACAAACGCACTTACATAAATACACTTACATAATTGGTCGCATTCGGAGGTAATCGTTATGCGGGGGTCCACTGTATTACCCTGCTCAAATTCCAACAGTTCGTCAGATCCCAAAAACCCTTTTTCTCCATTCACTCCTCTCTAACACGCTCACAAATGCTTATTGGAAGTCCAAGCCCCTCTCCCACAAAGCCTCCTTTACCATCCTCCCTTCAACCTTATCTAGGATGGCCCCTACTCTGCCTTCTTTCTCCTACAGATTTATATGCTCTCCAAGTCATTCTACTTTGTTCCATCCTCTCTAATTGACCAAACCACCTCGACAACCCCTCTTCAGTCCTCTGACTAATACGTTTAGTAACTCCACACCACCACCTAATTTCCTCACTACGAATTCTCAGCATAATATTTACACCACACGTTGCCCCCAGACATGACATCTCCACTGCCCCCAGCCTCCTCCTCTGATATCCTTTACCTTTCAAGAGTTTCGAGAGTTTCACTATTGGAGCCCGGCCATGGGCCAGGCTCGTGTGGTGCTTGCCTGGTCAACCAGGCTGTTGCTGCTGGTGGCCCACTGCCTCGCATATCGGTCACAACCTGGTTGATTGACACCTGGTAAAGACACTTGTTGTCTGGTTTCCTCTTGAAGGCTTCTATACTTGTTCCAGCCGTGTTTTTGATATCTTCTAGTAAGATGTTGAATAGTCTGGGACCCCAAATGTTGATACAGTGTTCCCTTATTGTCCCCACTGCATCCCTGCTCCTCACTTCCTTCCATATCTCTCAATCCAGTATGTTATGGCAGTATGTAGATTTGGGACCAGGCCCCTGAGTGCTTTCCAGGTATATATTATAATTATTAGCATTATTTCCCTTGTTTTGAAAGTTCTCAATACCCACCTTGTCATCTTCCTGGCTGTCTTGTTGTGGTCTTTAAGAAAGGTCAGTTGACATAATTATTCCCAGGTCTTTTACATGTTCCTTTCTTTCTATTTGGTGACCCTCTTGAGTTCTTCATTCTTTCCATACCTATGCTGCTGGAACTTCTCACAGTTGAACATCATGTTGTTCTCCACTGCCCACTGGAA